GAGGCGAAGAAGAAAAAAAAAGGAGGAGAACGAGAAGAAGAAGATGATTATGATGAGTGATGGAGGATGGTGGAAGGGGGGGGGTGAGAAGAAGAAGAAGAAGAAGATGATGATGATGGGTGGTGGAGGATGGAGCGGGGGGGGTAAGGAAGGGTGGGCGGAGAAGAAGAAGAAGAAGATGATGATTGGTGGTAGAGCATGGCCGCCAGGGGGTGAGAAATGATGCTACTAGAAGAAGAAGAAAGAAGACGATGCCGGCCGGGGGGTCAGAAAAGGTGGGCGGGCAAGGGGCATGGGGTGAGAAACGAAGGCGGGCAGGGTGGAGGATGGGGGGTAGGGGGTGAGAAAGGGTGTGCGAGAAGAAGAAGAAGAAAAAGGAGATCGATTGGGGGGTTTTATCACCGCCATGATCTCGAAATCCCAGGCGGGTCCAAGACCGTGCTTTTGTTGCTGCAGTCTTACCAGAGTTTTCGTCGGCGCAAGTACCCGTCACCAACCTCCATCTAGCTCATATGATTTATACGGCCACCTCCCAACAATTGGAATGGATGAATCATTGAATTCAGATTGAGTCTTCATAGATGGCTCGATTAGAGCTTAAAATCAACACGCACCAGTCCTTCTTTGTGCCCCTTACCGCCAGCCACTCATTTGCAGACAAGCTGCCTCCCTGCTCCCCCTATACATCACTGGGCCGTCGTTCTTTCAGGTAGAGTGGAGTGTTATAACTGCAAGCAGCCTGGACACTTCGCTCGAGATTGCCCCCTTCCAAGACGGAATCAACCTCCTCCCGCAATGGTGTCTGTGGCCATCAATCACGGACGGGTAGCTATGCTACTTGAAGGAACAAGAGAACGAGGGGATAATTCTCATTCTCCACTCCGTCCTATGTCTTCAGAAACAACCGCGTTGACTTTGGGGGCTTCCTTTGAAGCTGCAGATGTCGTCGATCCAACCGAGTACCTCCAGTTGGCAGGCTTGATCGAAGCTATTCGGCCTGGTAAAGATGATCTCGAATGGGTGGAATGCGAATCAGAACCTGATCCTCAGTTTCGGACAAGGGAGATCGATGTCTTGCGAACGTTGAAAGATTAGATATTAAACTTCTTGTCCCAGTTGGTCATCTCTTAACCATTTCAGAGACTGCAAACGATAAACTCCAACAACAATGTCAGAAGAACCAGAAATGATTCACCTATCAGTGTGAATACGAACGCTGAAGAAGAAGGAAGAGATGGCGGAATCAACACCTTCTCCATCCAGCCCAATAGCTGTCATTGATCATTCGGATATAAACACAAAGTATCTGAGACCACTTGCGTGAGAACAATTACATATAAGGAAAACAATCACTTTATCTGCATCAGGTCAGTACTCTGGAAACGTGGAGAATGTGATTGTGAGGTGTTGGGAACACCATCCAATGGCTTAATCGATATTGGATCATCTGTTGTGGCATTTTTACTTGACACGGCTTGAAAGGTTGGACAATTAAACTCCATTCTCCCCTTATCCGGGAAGTTCCGTCTCGGTGGATGAGGAAACCACGAACGTTTGGCACGTGCTGCAACAACTATCATCTCGGCAGATATGCGAAGCGGAGGGGAAAAGGCTGCTGATGTCCCCTTCGCTGACTCTCTTTTCTTCATGCGACATACAATCTTAGGGTGACAGGTGACCTCAATCTCACCAGCATCCGTAGGCTGGGAGGGGGTTTAAGAAGTGTTTAGGTAATTCTGTATGGGTTTCACCAGTTGCAATTGGAGTCATACAGATGGTGTAACCTTGCCTATAAATACGCGGACAGTTAATCCTCTCTGAAGAGGGCAATCAATGTTGTTCCACATGATACGACTGTTTGACATAACCTGCTCCTGTACTGTAAGTGGCATGCTGGACTCGATTTCCAGCAGGTGCTGCTCCCCACCAATAGATTGGAGCCATCTATCACTAGGGGCCTACTATTGGGGGATGCTCATATCACTTCCAACAACAGGCTCCCGTAGATGTTTTTGAAAAAAAAAAAAAAAAAAAACCATGAACGTCATAGGGATAATAAGAAATGTGGCCGTCAAGGTTGGGCAAGTGCATGTCATGATAAATGCGTTGGTAATCGATGTGCAATCATATTCCGTATTGAGAGGATTGCATTGGGCTATGGCTGCAGACGCACAGTTGCGTCTCAATTCTAAACACCTCGTTCTTACTCACAGAAGAAGAAAACCACAAACCGTTCCCTTGTGCATTTCCATGCGCCCCTTGCAAAATCCAGGGGGATG